GAAGGGCCTATGTTTCAAGTGTGAAGAAAAGTTTACACCGGGCCATCAGTGTAAACAAGCTTTTGTGATCGAAGTAGCCAATCCCGACGATGAGGATGAAGAAATCGAGGAAGAACTGGACCCAGAGGACAACTTGGAAGCAGTTAATGAAGAACATGAGATCTCGATACATGCTATGGCCGGAATCAGAGGGCCAAGAACGATTCGACTGCCAGCATGGGTCAAGGATCGTAAGGTGATGGTGCTCGTAGACAACGGGTCATCACACAACTTCATCAATGCCGAGTTGTCCCGGAAGCTGAACTTACCAACCACGAAGATTGAGCCTTTTGAGGTACGAGTAGCTAATGGTGAGAGGCTGCAATGCACTGAATCTTTCTGGAAGGAACCAATCAAGTTCAGCGGAGTTACTGTGAAGGTTGATCTCTACGCCTTACCTTTGGTTGGGCCAGATGTCGTTTTGGGAGTTCAGTGGCTGGAAGGGTTAGGCAAAGTGACTACCGACTATCGAACTGGAATTATGGAGTTTAACTCTGAGGGTCGACAAGTCACTCCGAGCACAAGCAGCGAAAAAGGTACCAAGGAAGTAGGACTGAAAAACATCGAAAGAGTTTGGCGAGGTGGCGGCCAAATCTTTGCGGTAGTAGTCGAGAACAGTGAGGCGCGCATAGGCAAGGACGAGCAACAGCAAGGAGATGTGCGCAATCTTCTATAGGAGTTCAAAGGAGTATTGGGCGAACCTAAGGGTCTACCGCCACAACGAGAATTCGATCATCGCATCCCACTGATTAATGAGCAGCATGCGGTACACGTTCATCCTTATAGGTACGCCCACTTTCAGAAAACTGAGATCGAACGGCAAGTGGCTGAGATGCTAGATTCGGGACTAATACAGCATAGCAAGAGTCCGTTTTCTTCTCCAGTACTATTAGCTAAAAAGAAAGATGGCACGTGGAGGTTTTGTACAGACTATCGAGCCCTGAATGCCGCGACTATCAAGGATCGATATCCTATTCCGAGTGTCGACGACATGCTCGATGAGTTAGCTGGATCACGTTACTTCTCAAAGCTCGATCTGTGAGCTTGTTATCATCAAATTCGACTCCACAAGCCCGACATCCCTAATACAGCATTTCGTATAGACCAGGGGCACTACGAGTATTTGGTTATGCCATTCGGATTGTGCAACGCCCCATCCACTTTCCAGTTTGCTATGAATTCTATCTTCAAGGAGTATCTGCGTAAGTTCGTTTTGGTATTCTTTGATGATATCCTGATTTATTCAAAGACGTGGGCTGATCATCTTGAGCATTTGAGAGTGGTGCTCGAAATATTGGAAGCCAACTCACCTCACATCAAACCGTCCAAGTGTTCATTCGGGCAGAGGATGGTTGAGTATCTAGGGCATTTCATATCCCAGGAGGGCGTGAAGATTGATCCACGAAAGATTGAGGCTATGGTCGGTTGGCCTAAACCGACAAGTCTCACACAGTTAAGAGGATTTCTAGGACTCACGGGCTACTACAGAAAGTTCGTGAAGGATTGTGGAACCATCGCCAAGCCACTGACAGAGATGACTAAGAAGGGCGGGTTCACATGGACCGAAGATAGCGAGGAGGCATTTGGGAAACTGAAAGTAGCCATGACTACAACGCCAGTACTCGCCATGCCAAGGTTTGATGTCTTGTTCGAGGTACACACCGATGCGAGTGACATTGGAATCGGGGAGCTGTGCTAGTGCAAGAGGGACGACCCTTAGCTTATCTCAGCAAGGCACTAGGAACTACACGATTGGGTCTATCAGTGTACGTGAAGAAGATACTAGCAGTTGTCGAGGCTGTACGGTGCTGGAGGACTTATCTATTAGGCCGACGCTTTCGAATTGTGACCGACCAGCAACCGCTTAAGCATCTACTCGAGCAAAGGATTGTTACCCCCGAGCAGCAAAAGTTTGTATCCAAACTTATGGGGTTTGACTTCGAGATAGTCTATCGACTAGGTTGACAGAATGCAATAGCTGACGCGTTATCCCTACGAACAGATGTAGTCGAACTTAATGCTATCACTGGACCGGCTTGGACTATTTGGGAGGAAGTCAGGAAGGCGCAAGTGGAGGACACCTACTACCAGGAGTTGCGCCAATCAATAGAGGCCGGAAAGACAACCGCTATCGACTACGAGTTGCATAATGGCCTGCTTCTACACCGAGGTCGAGTATTCATTCCCAACAGTAGGCAGTTACGTGAGCATATCATGCAGCACTTCCACGACTCTAAAATTGGAGGCCACTCGGGTATCTACCGCACATGGATGAGAATAGCCAATACTTTCTTCTGGCCCGGACAACAGAGTACCGTCCGAAATTACATAGCACGGTGCAACGATTGCCAGCGCACTAAGTCTGACTCACATCGACCGAGCGGGCTGTTACAACCTCTACCGGTACCCGAGGCAGTCTGGGAAGATAATACCATGGATTTCATAGAAGGGTTACCGAGTTCCAATGGATTTGACGGTGTTATGGTCGTGGTGGATCGTCTCACCAAGTATTCTCACTTCATACCCATCACTCATCCATATACTGCGAAGTCAATTGCCAGACTATTCGTGGAGTACGTAATGAAGCTGCATGGGGCACCATGATCCATCATCTCTGATCGAGACCGAATTTATCTGAGCAGCTTTTGGTCAGAATTCTTCAAGTTATCTATGAGCTCAGCCTACCACCCACAGACAGACGGACAAACTGAGGTAACCAACCGAACCCTTGAGCAGTACTTGAGATACTACGTTCATCAATTCCCAAAGCGGTGGGAAAACTTTTTGCCTTGGGCTGAGTATTGGTACAACACCACTTACCATGAATCGACCAAGATGACACCATTTGAGCTGGTATATGGACGAAAACCCCCGACATTGATCAATTATTCGGAGGGGGGTACAGTCAATGACGAGGTTGGTCGGGAACTCGAGGAACGAGATTTGATGTTGCGAGAGTTGAAGAAATATCTCGAAGGCTCGATTAACCGAACCAAAGCCTTCGCTGATGGTAAGAGGCGCGAAGAGAACTTTACACAAGGAGAGTATGTTTACCTAAAGCTACGACCATTCAGACAGCGCACAATAGCACAAAGGGCGGCGACTAAGCTTGGAGTTCGCTATTATGGGCCTTATAAGATTCTGAAGCGCATTGGTCAGGTAGCTTACCGCCTAGAATTACCAGAAAGTTCTCAGATCCACCCGGTTATCCATGTCTCACAACTCAAGAGGAGTTTGGGAGAAGCACAGAAGTACTGTGAGGAGTTACCAACAACCGCAACCGATGGCAGGGTCATCGTACGCCCAAAACGAACGATTGAGTATCGTAAGGTAAAGAGAGCAGGACGCTATCGTTGGGAAGTACTAGTTGACTGGGAAGAGTTGCCGTCTGAAGAAGCCACGTGGGAAGATCTTGAAGAGATCCGCGATCAATTCCCGAATTTCATCCTTGAGGACAAGGATTCACTTGAAGGGGACGGGAATGATGCGGAAGTGGCTAGGCAACTCAAGAACGCCGCGAGTCGCGCTTACCACGCACGTAAGAGGTTAGCACGGGAAGCAGCAGAAGTGCGCGCACTGGAGAGTAATGCGCGCGGGACGAGCGAAGATGGCCAGCACACGGGTGTGCGGACGATGGGCGTGGGCGTAGCACGCGGCAGCAGTACGCGCGTAATGAACGAAGCGATGAGCGCGAGCACTGACGAAACACGGGCGAATGGCGGAGACGCGCGCACAACAGGTATGAGCGAGCGGGGCGCGCGA